GCACACAAGCCCAAAATTCTAATTTATGTACGAAAATTCATTCTTTTCAGCTTAATTGCTTCATATATCATCTCATTTCTTATTCTTAACTTACATACTCATGCTTAAACTCATTTATTCTCATTTATCACATCTTTATCCTCAAAATCCTATCTTCCAAAAGGAATTCAAGAATCATACCAAATTTTCTATATGTTCTAAATCCACTTTTAACACCTCATATCTCTTAATTCATTCATTGACAAGTCAAATCTAATCTCAATTTCCACTTATCAACTTTATTCCAAATTTTCATTCAAGAATTCATAATCTTTAATCTCTCCTAACTCTTCCATCCTTTGATTTTAAGATAACTTAAGCTTTTCTTAAGCTTTCTTAATACCTTAAGAATCAAACTCACTTAAACATTAAGAAATAATCCACAAAAATCATATTTACCTTAACCAAGGAGCTCACGGGAAGAAGAAAGCAAGAAGAAGAATAAGCTTCCAGACTTCTCCCTTAAATCCCACGTGTTTATCCTTAAATAAAGAAAAGAAAATATCCTTAATATTGAAAAGACCATAATAACCTTCATTCTTTACGTCCTTGCAATTTAATCCACTACTTAAATATTCCTATTTAATTCTTATACTTTTCAATCTTTCAAAATCAAACCTCAAAGTTTCAAATTTTCCATTTTAGTCACTAACCCCAATTTTGAGATATTACAACCATAGTAAGACCCTCCAACCGAACGCCAATATACAGTTCCCTAGAACTGCATCCATAAGGACTTACCCTAGGCCCAAAAAAGGGCGTAGGTTCCAACCTAAGGGAACACCTTAGTCCATAAGTTATTACCCTAGCTGAAGTGTAGGTGCCCACCTGAGGGAAGTGACCTCAAGTTCATAAGGTCTTACCCAAAAGCACATAGCAGTGGTGTCATCCCTAAGGGAGTGTCTTAGGGTCCATAAGGTCTTACCATTAGGCCCATTAGACCTAAAAGCCCACCCAAGAGTCGCCTTAAGTCCATAAGGAATTACCAGTCGGTGCTGAACCTTTACAAGGAATTATCAACAGCGACTGAACCTATCAATGTCTTCAGTCATACCAGAGTCCCAGAGTAACCCATATGAAAATAATTTCAGTCAGTAAATAGAGATATCATTAATCTGAACAGAGATCAGAACATATATAAAAGTTCAAAGCAGAAATCAGAGGTCAGACTGTATTCCAAATAACAAATTCATACTTTTAAAATCAGATAAAATATCCATGATGATCATGGAACACACTAGAGTTTCCAGATATTATTCGGAGGTACTTGATAATCTTATCGGCCAGAGAAACACGCATATTTAGTATACCGATATAATGTTGAAAATTAGAATAACTAGCTGACGGAATCATCAGTTATTCAGAACGTGATTTATTAGGATCATAAAGTATTCGAACATTTTTTTTCCGGAGGCACTAGGTAATCAGAAAGGTATTTAGAATCCTTTGCATCTGAGTTACTTGTGTTTTCAGATATGACAAGAGTGATTCCATTATTCAGGAAAATCATAAGCATTTTGGGTATTAGGTACTTGGAGAATTCTTAATGATTTAAGCTGATAAGGGAGAAACAAAGATTTAGGGCATTTACGATTTGGGTTGATCTTTTGAAACATCGAGTTAACTCGATTTGTACAAGTCTCATCAATGATATATGTCAACTGGTCAAATCGTTGCACTCCTAGAGTATTTGCACTTTAATACTACAACTTTTGTTGAACTGGTCATAATTGTTTCCAGACTTATCCAAGTTATTCACTTAATTTAGGGTCATCAGAGTACTTAATTCAATTAGTATTCAAGTTATCCCGGTCACTTAGGAGTTTCCTAAGTAATTCAGTCACTTCCGCAAATTTGAATACATACAATACTTCCATTCCATTTAACTTTGTCATATAATATACGAGGTTGATTTGTTCATTTCAGAGCTAAGGGTGTTTAATTATTCCAAGGCTTGGACGAGCTTCGAATTATTACACTTCAGGGGCATTCCAATAAATCAGGAGTTTAATCGGTCTCTATTATCATAGTCGTCCATATTCTTTTTTTACACTTTAAGGGTATTATCGTTATTTCATTCAATTATGTCAGTGGAATTACTTCGGATAACTTAGGCTTGAAAGTATTCTAGTTCTTTTAAAGTTCAGAGTACTTTGTTCATTTGATCATCGTAGGTTATTTTCACCATTAGGGAATATCTTAGTCTTTTTTCAGTACAAGGGCATTTTCGTAATTTTACCACATAGTACTATTATTGGTAATTTCTTATCCAAATATTTCCATCATTTAATCTTTAACATGATTAATCAGAATTTACTTGTTCTAAGATTGATTGATTTACTAATTTATTCATTGAACTGAGATATATTTAATATCAGTCTACCTGGTTAATCAGTGAAAAATAGCTTACCAGGTTCGAATTTGGCGAAATAGACCTAAAAACGGACTCAGGACGTCGAAAACATCAGAATATGTGTACCAAAAAATAGTTAACGACCAGTCAACGGTCAACGCGGGTCAGCTCGGCTCGGTCAAGCGACTCAGTCGGCTCGATCGGGCGGCTCAGTCGGCTCGATCGAATCAATCAGGTGGCTCGATCGAATCAATCGGGCAGCTCGGTCGGCTCGGACAGACGACTCGGTTGGCTCGGTCATCAACTCCCCTAGATAAAAGATGACGCCCACGCGCAGGGGGTGGTGCGTGCGGCAGCTCCGGGGGCTGTTTTGATCGGCCGATTCTTCCCCAATCTTCTACGCACTTCAATTTAACAAAAATAATTCCCAATTCGCAGCAATAATACGCTAAAGTTTCTGAAATTAAATCAGGAACTTAACCAGACGATGAACGGCGATAGAGGCAACGATGGCGCGTCGCACTAGGTGGGTTTTGTGCGCACAACGAAGGTGAATCCAATGGTACAGGCGGTGAGGCGAGATAACGTCGGAGGCAGCCGAAATCGTCAAAAATGAGCAGCGATTGGGGGTTTTTGACGAAACTTCCTGGTGAGTTTCACGGTGAACGACACCGATTTACGATGGGCTTAGGGTTGGGTTTTGTTCACCGTTTGACGGTGAATCTATTGGTAACTTCGGAGCGACGAGCGGTGGCCGAACAACGGTAGAATCGGGTGACAAAAAGGGTATGTGGGGAAGAGAATCGGGGTTTAGGGATTTTAATTAGGGGTGGGTTGATTAATGGGGGTTTATTTTTCATCGGGTATAAAAATGGATAAATTCGGGTTTCAAAACCCTTAATTTTCTGCACTTCATAAAAATGTCCATAAGTTTCATAAAATCATAATTTGGCCCCTAATTTGGGTGTTACAGGAAATGCAGGTACGCATACTAGCTTAAATGAAGATTTGAGAAAGATATGGATATAGATATATGCATAATTATAGTATTTCTTCTTTCTTTAGTGATATTATTGTTCAAACCCCAATCTCAAGTGTTTTAATGCCACTATAAACCTCAAATTCCATACGATTCGATAATACATCAACATAACTATCACACTTGACAAGCGTGAAAAGTATTGAAAAATTATTCCATCCCTAAATTAAACGTATTAAGAAAAAATATTCTCAATTTAGAAACTCATTGAATAATTTTAGTGATGAAAATAATTCTTATGTTTTTTTTAGAAGTTTTGAGTTTGAAGTTTATAAGATGTATATATATTATTAATCACCGTATTATTTAAAAGATTTGAAGAAAAATTTTAAATTAAATGGGATTCAACGTTCCACTAATCGTTTGTCGTTTAATTTGATAGTAAGACATCTCACTGTTAAAAAAATTATTTAACCCTGAAGCTGTGTTCATTGTTGCGTAGTAGTTGTTCTGTGCCTTTATTATGCCCCTCTTATGAAGAAAAATATTGATCATCCTAACAATGACATTTAGTGGGACCCTTTCATCAAGAATTGGTCATCTGATGCAATGAACGTTAAGATCACATCAAATTGTTTTTGTACGGTGAAATTGAAATCATATGGTTTTAGCTTCACTGGAAAACTACTTGTATATAACACAACAGAGCATAATTAGGGATATGTAAGCACCTTACTGTCGGTTCTTGCAGTCACCGACACACATCAATGAAATCCCGTCGGTCCCTAACACATTTACCAAAATGACCAGAATCCCACCCTACAATGTTAAGCACGTGGCTGTACAAAAGGGTTCCACATCTAACATTATATGCAAATGCAGGCTGTGTTATTGTTTTCCATAAAAACAGGGTCGACAGACGGATGAATAATATGTCGGTAATTGTATAGACCAATTTTGATCGTTAACTGTGGGTATTTTATAATTTATTTAAATGATTCGGCTAAACTTAATAGGATCATTGTGTAGTAAAGCATGAGACGAAGGTGTTTATAAGAGTTTCCTTGTATCTCTCTATTGGTTTTGTTGTCAAACATCTACAGGATTGAGCTCGACTCGATCAAAATTTGGTTAAGCAAGGTTTAACTTGATAAATTTGCAAACAATTCATTGAACTTTTTATCATTTTTAAGATGTTGATTGTCTTATTTTTAAGATGAACCAAAATTCCAATAACACTTTATTTGAATTGATTTGACTTGACATTTTAATAAATTGTGTTGAATAAATTTCAACTTAATTTGATAAACTCGTAGCAGTTCATTAAATTTGACTTATCTTATTTTTAACAAGGAATAACAATAAAAGAGATAGAAATATAACAATTAATTGATTTATAGTAGAATTTTAATAATTATTTCATATATTCAACTATTTTCGTAAATAAACTACAAATTCTTGTATATATTCAAAGGTAATTAACAAGAAATTACAATGGACAAATTCCAGTTGTTGATCTAAATATAAATCAGAAATAAAAAAAAGGAAGACGAATAGGGAAAATTATAATAAAAATAAGATAGATACCTTTCGAAATTTCTCAGGCCACTTTTTATGACAGTAATATTATTTATTATTGCTACAAATTGTAAGTGATTGAGAAATGAGATTATGACATTTTTGGACCGGCTAAAATGATGATGATAATAATACTAATAATAATGTACTAAAAAAAATAGTAAAATTTTTCTTTCCTCTCCACCACCACCTTCCAAGTAAGCCTTCTTTCTCTTATCAGCTGTAGCAAGCAGACAAATCGCAAGGAAACACGTGGCGTACATCCCATGGACCTTCCAATTCGTTTTCGGGGGTTGCTGCAAAATCACCCTATGAAACACCTCCACGTAGTAATGTAAACCGACAGCGAAACCCACGACAATTTGACCCAAACCCAACATCTTGGATCCGAGACCCGACTCAGTTGAGAAAACAAGAATCAGATACATCAGCAGCAGCAGCAAGTAGAGCACGTATCCCAGTGTTTGAAGAACCTGTAAACACACGTAGGTGGACGGCGAAGTAGCGTAGAAAAACTTCAATGGCTCGAGCCCAGTGACGAGGGAAGTGATGCAGAGGATTGAGAAGTAAATCGACAGGTAACTTTGTATATAAATGAGCATCTTTTGGAGTGAAAAGTAGGCTTTGATGCGGTTAAAAATGAGGGAAACTAACAGTAAAGGGATTAAAAGGAAAGCACAAGAGATTACAGTGGCGATGGTGGGGGCGTGTTTGTTGCCGACATATGGTTTGAACTGTTTGGTGAACTCTTTGTTGTATTTGGTGATGTAAACTTTTGAGGTTCTCGAGATCATCTCAAGGTCCGGGATCAGGGTTTCCTGGAACTTGGTCGGGAGATCTCGAAACTCCGATACTAAATCAGAATCATCTTCCTCGTCGAGCCAACTGGGTGCTTCTTCTGTTGTTTCTGAATCTGGGTTGCCGGTGGAAAGCACAAGAGATTACAGTGGCGATGGTGGGGGCGTGTTTGTTGCCGACATATGGTTTGAACTGTTTGGTGAACTCTTTGTTGTATTTGGTGATGTAAACTTTTGAGGTTCTCGAGATCATCTCAAGGTCCGGGATCAGGTTTCCTGGAACTTGGTCGGGAGATCTCGAAACTCCGATACTAAATCAGAATCATCTTCCTCGTCGAGCCAACTGGGTTTGCTTCTTCTGTTGTTTCTGATCTGGGTTGCCGGTTTTTTCCCTTGGATTGACTTCTTTTGAGTTTTTGAAGATTGAGCAGCACTGTCGGTCAGTTTCTTTTCTGCCATTGTTTTGTTATTGGAAGGGTTTGGTTTGAGTAGATCCGAGGTTTTTGTGGTCTTGGGCTTTTGATGTAGTGGAATTGAGATTCTTGAACTTCTTATTAATAAGTTCAGACTTGGAAATAGAAAGGTCACCGGTCACTGCTGTTTTTGCTGCTTTTGTTGAATTGGTAAGTTTCGAAAGCTTGGTTTGGTTCTTGGTGGACAAATTTGATGATTTCACGAGTTTGGTTTGGTTTTTGGCGGATACGTTCGATGATTTGGTTTGGTTTTTGGTTGATAAGTTGAATGGTTTGATGAGCTTGGTTTGGTTCTTCTTGGTGGTAAAACCGGAGCTTTTTCTTCTTCAACAACAGTGGCTCGCCTTCTTCTTCAAGCTCCAACAATCTCCTTCTAGCACCGAACCGATTGGCTCGAAGCTCGTGGCTATCAATGGAGGCACAAAAGAGCAGAAAAATCAACACGAAGCAAGATAAAGCAAGAACACCTTACGGAAGCTGATGTACATGGTTGAGCCATTGTTCAAACTCTGGGACTCGGAAGATGCAATGAGATTTAAGGCTTGATTGGATCTAAAGTAGTATTCGACCAAAAAGAAAAGGAGAAAAAAAAAAAGAGTGTTTATAGTTGTTGTTTATATGAAAGGTATTGATTGAAAAGTGGGAAGAGATGAGGTCAGTCACATGGTGCTCAAGCAAAGGCAAAGAATCAACTGCATTATCAATTACTATTCACGCGTTTTCGCACTGTATACTATTCTAATGCCGCTAGTACTTCAAGTTATATAATTGAGGACCAAATTATATATAAAGTTAAAATCAATGTCCAAAAGATATATTAACCTAAATACTTTAGGAGATGACATTTACATTACAAATCATCCTTTTTAATAATAACATTACTATAATTTTAACATTTATTACCTTAAAAATACAATATACGTTCCTACTGGGAGTGATTTTGGGTAGAAATGATAAGAAAAAAATAACTCATTTCTCTAGAATAAGCCCAACAACCAACCACCTGTTTTATAATTTGGGCTGATAATTAATAATGCTTTGAAAGGGACAGCAGACGACAGTCGAGATATTTAACTAAATTGACTCTTAACTTCCTCTTTTTACCCACCCTATACTCCTACTCCTGATCGATACTACCATAACAATGTTATATTTGGAATTTTAAAAAAATTCACATTTATTTTCATCCATAAATTAATAATATTATATATCTAAATATATTTAAAATCATATTTAATGTATATAAAAAATAATGATAACATCAATTAAATAAAAATATAATATTATACTTGATATTACATTATTATTAGGATAAACTACATCTGTGATCACTTAACTATAGATAACTTTTAAATTGATCTCGGTTTTAATTTTAATTTGTCAAACCACTTAGTTATTCAAATCATGCCTGTCAAATCATTTACTGTTAATATTTAAGTAAAAATTGAAAATTAATAAATTAGTATTAAATACATTTAAATTATTAATATTTATCCATTTTATCGATTTAGTTCTAATTTTTATAATCAATGCATGTGTCATATATGTATAAAATAATATTATCACATGTATTAAAAATACATACATCATAAAGCGAAATTTAGCCTAAACACCCTCTACTAGTAGTTAATTAGAATGATCTCTAAAGTGCTTTCACTTACTACATTGAATTCATTGGGTAAAGAAAAACTCGCTCAGAACAAATTGCTTTAATGGTATTATAAATCGAAATCCTAATTTTATTTTTAATTCATTTTTGTAAACAATTATTTTTATATCTCTTTTTAGATTTAAATCTAATTCCCTTGTTACAAGTACAATGTGTCTTATTATTATTTTAATCTGAAAGATTTTTTTTTTAAAAGAAATCTCATCCTTAATACAACTTGCAATAATATTCAAAGCATGAGAAGCCTCACACTTGTTCAAGTACAGTATTGTCAAATTCAAATAGATATCTTCATATGATCTCCATATACATTTGTGTACGGTCAACGAATATAAAGAAACAAACGAACTACTTTGAATAACATGCACCGTCAACTCCTTTTCTCACACATATTTATTTACTTCGCTTTCAACTAATACATAAAACAATACTTAAAATATAAATTATATGATAAAAAATAATAAAACAAGTAAACGAAAGAAAAACGACCGACTTTTAATTTGCAGAATGCATGTCCTTCCATAGGTACAATTTGAATCGGTTTATTGACTAAGAGACTGTTTGTTTGGCTCTGAATGGAACCATTCAACGTGTTTGTTTCGTACATCTGAATGATTCAGTGCTGACTGATTCAGCATCAAAGTACATTCTGAATGATTCAGAGCCATTATCAAACAGCATGTCACATTCAGAGCTAATTCATATAGAGTCTCTGAATCATTAAGTATTTGAATCATTCAGCGCTTAATCATTCTGAAGTAAACAAACAGCCCCTAAGAATTTGACCAAGGATTCAATTTATCATTTTTAATTGGGTAAATATCTTGAAGGTTTTTTAAATAATTTTTAAGGGTCATTTGGTTGACGAAATATTAAGATTATCTTTGAGAATAAAATTATTAGATTTTTAAAATTAAAATATATATGAATTATTTTAGATAATTTTTTATTATATTTATATTGACTTAGTCAATAGAATTTTTTTATTCCCCGTTGTCAGGAAAAGACCCTAAAATTGCTCATGTATGAATACTTCATTATCCTAGGAGGAAATGCTCTTAAACCAATTGTGGATACGTGATTGTGGAAAATATTATTACCCTTAATAATAATTTTTTTCGTGAATTAAAAGTCTTTTTAGGGTAAATATACGTTTAGTACCATAACTATTACTTTTATTTCAGTTTAGTCACCCAATTTTTTTTCCTAAAATCATATCTAACATTTAGTTTAGTTTCATTTTGGTAACTCATTGTTAAAAAATAATGATAATATTAATGTATCATCATAAGACAATGTCACATTATTAAAAAAAATAAAAATGCAATATCAGTAATTTTATTATTTTTTTAATAATGAATGAAAAAAACAAAACAAAACGTATTTTTAAGTAAGATTTTAAAAAAAATTGTTAAATAACTAAAAAGAGAATAATAAAAATGATAATTGATTAGTAAACGTGCAGTTTAGCCTAACTATCAAGGAGGGGAGACCAGAGGTTGAAATGGTTGACCTAACAACCCTCGTTTGCATCTGCACATTTGGGTTTCTCTCTCATCTCTGGAAATTGGATTGAAAATTAAACAAGTTGTAGGGTTTCAGGCAAGGCAAATCAATCTCTGAGGGTGGAAAATGGGACCAAACACTGGAACTTTGTGAGCATCCAAAGCCGTGAAGCGGGTCCCATAATAGAAGAAAAATATGGTTCTTGGGTCCCACAAATATGGGTGAAGGAAAAAAGCTGGCCCGACTCATCATCTTCATCATGTGTGTATCAGCATATGGTATGTTCATCTTTTACAGGGGTAGAGGGAAGAGATATTAATATTAAAATTTAAAATTATTAGTGACTCAAGACTAAAATCCTTCGATCTTTGAGAAGTTTAAGCTCACTTGCGGCAAACTACATATACGGTTAAAAAAATGTTATTAGTTTTATTATTATTTTTAATAAAATTGATAAAAAAATTATTAGAAATATTATTATTTTTATCGATTTTATTATTATCAAGCGTTTTATCAATTTTATTAATATATTCGATAAAGTGCTATTGATTTTGTTATTTTTTCTATCGGTTTTATTATTCTTTTATCAGTTTTATTATTATTGGGCATTTTACGGGATTTATTAAAAAATATTAATATTTTAAATAAAAATAATAATTTTTCAATTAATTTTTTATTAATTTTATTAAAAAAAATAACAAAATCGATAAACCTTTTATTAAACTTATATTAAGAGTGTATTATGATAGAATTTCCACTTAAAATATTAATATTCAGATTCCATTAATGAACAAAAGGGTGAATTCGTTTCCTCAGAAGCTGCAGGTGACATGTCTTTATCAGATGAACCAAAGTGGTACTTTTGGACTTTGCATCTGTTCATCATTCGTATAATCATTTGACAAGATGTTGATACGACATTAACATTCACTTCACGTACCTAGCTGTTACTCACTATAAATTTACAAATATTTAAATCAGAATTTAAATCTATAATAATTATATATATTAATAGTTTGGGAGAATCGGATTTTAATGTGTTTTTTGGTTTTAAAAATAATAACGGGGTTACGTAGGCAAAACTATCAGGTTAATGTAAATGGGAAACGTTAATTATCAAAATAATATTGTAATGTTATTATTTTTTCAAATGGGGTGTTTGTTACAGACAATTATGATTTCCCGACGTATTCAGAGGTGTTGTATTCACTAAAGGACCTCTCGGCGTCTTCTACTTCCCCTTTGAGCTGCGACAATGCATGCTGTTAAAAGTGGGAGCTGTGCATGTGGCCCTGGCTGGCAGTGGGAGCTCTGCATGTGGGGCTGGACGTGGGAATTCACGGGGTGAGCAGGGAAATATCACGGGGTGAGCAGAGAGCTGCATGGGGCTTGGGAGTCTGTTGAATCGTGCAACATGCATGTGATTCATTAGAGGATTACTCGACGTCTTCTTCACATTGGGGTGGAGTACTCGGCGTTTTCTTCATAATAATGAATGCACGGGACGTGTTGGAAACATGTTTATAAGAGTGCTCGGGCTCGGCGTCTTTCTTCATTGTGAGATTTCAATTACAGAAGCTTGGGAAGCAAAGAGAGTGAGAGGGAGGATATCGATCATCAGAAGCAAAAAGAGTGAGAGGATATCCATCATCGTCCTCAAAAATTTGAGGTAATTTAAACTAAGCCCTATATCTTATTTTCTTCTTATTTTATAGGTTTGGTGTTTCATATGGATCTCATAATATTCGTTTCAGCATTTAGTAATTTTGTGATTATATTTTATTACATACTTCGAAATAATGATATGTTGTTACATAATTTGAAATAAGCTTTGGACCATTTTGGAACATTGTAAAGTTATAGGGACTATTTTGCAAACTTTGAGAAATTTAAGGAATAAGATGTAATTATTAAAAGTTGGTATACTGTTGGAATTTAGTATTAGTATGCTTAATTGGTTCAATTTGAAAGAATTTATAAATTTAGGGATTATATTACAAAGTTTGAAAATGTTAAGAACCAAATAGTAATTAGGAAAAGGTTATTGGATTAAATTAGAAAGTAAGGCTTGAAAATTCATGTGAGACTCAGAAATGATGAGTAATATGTCAGACAAAAATGAAGTAATAACCGATCTCCACCTGCAAAGGTTGATCGTTTTATATTTGATGTTTTTTTTATTAAAGTAAATAACATACAATTGATTATTTGAATAAAACAATGTTCTTTGGAGGCTAGATGGTCGACACATTTCGAGTCCTTTGGGAGAACTGATAATATGATCGACTTATTTTTTTTATTTGAGAACGGTGAATTAATTATAA